CCCCACGCCGCAGTCTGGGAGCGCTGTGCAGCCGCAGGGCTGCCTCCCTGCGCCTCGTCACGGGGACCTTGTCCCGCGGTCCTGGGCCCTCTGGAAACGGGAGCGGCAGAGCTGGGAGCGCAGCGCGGAGCTGACTCATCCCGCTGGCCCGTGTCGTGTCTGCAGGGAATGTTTGCAGGGAGCCGGCCCGAAGGGATTCTGCCTCCCTTTTGGACAGAAGGGGCCGGAATTCCCTCGGGGGAATTTGTGTCAGTTCTGCCCTGTTGCAGAGGTGTCTTAAAACACCTTCTCCTGCCAGTGCTCTGCGTGAGGGCCCCAAAGCGCCCCTGGGATCTTCTGGTCCTCCTCCCCTCCCTGCGTGCGGGCAGGGAGCGAGCGGATGCGCGTGGGCATCCCGGCGGTCGCCATGGCAGCGCATCCCGCCCCGGGCTTCCCGCGGGATGCAGCGGGCAGGCGCGTCCCCGGCGCACGTGTTTTTCGACACCGCAGCACAACGGGAGCATCAACCGGAGCCTTAACGGGAGCCTGGGCGCAGCGGGGGCTTCTGTCCCACAGGAAAGCAGCGAGTGCCCGAAATTTTAATTCGCCCTCCCCGTTGGCTTGAGGGGAAGGGGCTGCCACCCTGTGTGGTGCTCGTGACACGAGGGAGATGCCCCAAATGGATTAACTGCCCTTGTTCTGGCCCTCCCAGCGAGCGGCGGCAGCACCGATCCCTTCTCAGTGGCCGTGGGTTTGGGAGAAGCGGGCGGTTAACCTGCATTCCGAGCTAGCTCCTTGCCGCCTGCTTCCTGGTTCGTCCTTTGCAGTTTTAGCGAATTATTTTTGCAGTTTTAGCAACTGCAGTAGCCAGAGCAGGCAAATTATATCCGCCAACTTCTGCTTGTGGTTTATATATGACCGTTTGGTGAAGGCTTTCAGCACATATACATTGTTCTTAAGTGATACTCAGGAAATTAAGAACAGATTCTTCCTTTAATTCTGTAAATATGAATATAGACTATAAATACTTATATTTGCTTGAAGATTGTTTGTAGCGTAATAAACCTTATAGGCCGAGTATATCACAGATTTTTTTTAAAACACTAGATGTGCTATGTCATTTCACTGGTTTGAAAGCAGCGTTGCAGTAGGAAGACCCTGTTGCAGACCATCGGTGGGACATTGCGTGGGGCTCCTAATCCATCTGCAGGAAAGAAACTGCAGACGCCAGAGCCTTAAATCTTGAGTCATAAGCGTGCATGGATTACCTGCCTTCTGCACAGCAGCAAGTCAGGGCAAAAAAGATGTTGTTAGGCATTCTGGCCCATAATACAAAGTATTTACAAATTGTGTGCTTAGACGGGCTTTGGAAAGGACTTGCACGCGTGATTAATGTGGTGTTTGACCTCAGTGGGGCTCTGCATGTATTTACAGTTAAGCATGCGTTTAAGTCTCTGCAGAATTAGGCGCCTGGGTCTGATTCAAAGCAGTTGGTGACTGTGGCCAGCCCGTCAGGAAACCTGAAAAGGGTGTGGGTTTTTGTGTGTCATACTCTGGATGAGTGCAAAAACCACGTGTGTTTTATTTATTGATATAAAATATGTTGATTTGGAAATAGGCCATGAATCCAGGAAGGCATTTAGAAAGTTACTTTATACCAAACAACAATTCCTCTTATAATAAAGGAGATAAATAGGAAGTAATAAGCTTTTGGGATCTTGAGGCAGAAGGCCTTCATGTCAAATTAGCTCGAAAAGTTGGAGTGAAAAGTGGAAAAATTGGTCCAGCAGAGACCCCGTTGTCTCCAGGAGCATTTGATCCTGGATGCATTTCATTCGTGTCTTAGATTTTTACTTAGATCCTTCCCCTCTTCTAAATATCATAACATTGATAAGTCTGTGTAGTGAAACTTGGTCATGAGAAAGAGAGATGGAGCAAAAAGATGAATCTGAAGGATGAAATCCCTTGTCACATCTGTTTAAATGTGGGTCAGTGTGATCACTAGTTCCTTTCTCATCCCAGGAGAGCTGGTCCCCAACTGTGATCCATGAGAATCCAAGTGCGGGGGAGCCTGGAGTGAAAACTTTGCCATCTTTGATGCTTGGAAATATTTGAGTCGTATTCAGCCCTGCTGGAACTGCCTTGTATGCAACGCGGTTTTTGACACTGGAGCCGGCTCTTGTGTCCCGCAGCTCCAAGGAAAACTCCGTGTTTTCTCTCTTTTACACCTATAAATGAAGGGTTCCCCTGGATGGTGCTCATAATAACCCCTTTGAGCTAAGGCCTTACCTCAGGAAGGGTGTTTTGCAGGACTTCAGTCATGATGTACTTAAAAACAAAATATTCTCCTGCTTGACAAAGAGGTATGGATGGTCCTGGGTCTGCTTCGTGCAGGAGCCTACGTGTGTAGTGACCCGCGCTGCTGGGCAAGGATCAAATTCACTAATTCAGTTCACTCATAACCTAATAAGAGTTTATGGCCTGGTTTCCATGAGGGAAAAGCAGGGGCACTTGGCCATGTGGCTATTCCCTGATCCTTTAAGAATATGAATCCCCGTTAAGCATGCTTGTCTCCCAACCTGCGCTCGCACACGGTGTAATCAGTTTTGTTTTCCCACTGTTAAACAAAGGCGTCTCCATACAGATTAGCTAATGCAAACAGAAATAATTATTTTTGCTGCTTGATGGCAACAACAGCAAGGTTGGCCACTGCATGCATATTTCAGGGAGTGTTTTCCACCCTCAGCAATTTTAAACGCCCTGTTCTGTGTGCATTGCATGATTTGCCTTACAAATAGTCTGACAGTGGACATGGATTTAGCTTTCAATATGGTCAGTCCCTGCCTCAACACAAGCCCAACAAAACCCAGCTGGGAAACATGCAGTATTCCATCCTCAGGGACATATATTGATTTTAAGAATAACTCAGAGTGACTGCCGGTGAGCTCAGGGTGTGACTTCCAAAATGCAGCTGAGAGGCAGCGCTTTGAAAGACAACGCGTTGTTCTGTTTGGCCTTTCAATATGGGGCTTTTTAGCCCTTTAATTTATTGATGGTTCTAAGTGGAAATGGCCATCAGAGGGCTCTGATGAGACTGCTGCTCTGCCCGGGAAGAAGCAGTTCCTGAGTCCGGATGGTCCCTTGGGAATCATCCCAGGATGGCCTAGGCTCCGTGTCCCCTCCTGAGCTCTGACCGTAAGGGTGGCATTGTCTGACCTTAATAAAAAGCAGGGGATTTGCCTAAAAAGGAATCTGTAACGCCCATGGTGGTTGTTAAGGCTGGGATTCCAGAACCACATACAAGTGACCATTAAAATGGTTTACAAGTGACCATTAAAATAGTCTCTCCTCTAGAGAGCGGTGTTTATAGATTAGCATTCTGCCTTTCATGTTGGCATAAAATGAAGAGACATGCAGGTCTTACACAAGCAGCTGAAACTGCTTTGGAATATGCAATACGTTGTGTTACTTAACTGCCTTGGTATTTGGCGCTAGTTTGGGAAGGAGCTGCAGGACTTTAGGGTGCACCCAAGTACGGTCCCAGCACGCGAAGCGACATCCCAGCGGTCACCCTTGTATCCTGCCTCCTTTATGCTCCAAGGAGACTGTTCCCTTCGGCTGAGCCAAGAGATCTGTTTTGCACCCTCTAGGACAGGGATTCTTGGCTCGTGCAAGAGCAGCATCCCGCTGGAACAGGCAGCAGCCTGTTGAACTGAGCACGCGGGCACGTTCAGAGCTGGCTCCCTGTCATCCAAATTAATAGTTTTCTGCTAGTGTAGAACAGTTTGGAATAAGCGTTAGTAGGCAATTCTCAAAACGTTTTCACTCGGATGTTGTAGGCGTGTTGTTAATGCTGCACGCTGCGCTCTGTGCTGTTTCTTCTTATGTGCTAATAAGCAAGCATAGCTGCAATATAGTAACTGAAAATACAGAACTTGCGTGCAAAAATGGATATGGAGAGAACCTGCTGTATGAGGATGACTACTCTGTTGCTTTCTTCAAAATTATGAAATCTTATATAAAAAGAACGGAAGTGCACACCATTTCAGGTGGTCTGGATATGGCTGGTTTCATGCAACAAACTGCTGCACTTGAATAAGAAGGTAAATCTGGTTGATTTGTTCCTCTGAAATCATGCAGGCAGCTCTCTTGTTAACGAAACAAGAATTGGACTGTTTGGAAAGGCAGAGGAAGTTTCTTCTTTTCCTTGTATTTGTTCTGCAACTGTTTCTCATCCTCAGCGGCAAATGCCACTGTTAATCATTAATGTTTGCTAATGAGGGAGATCACACTATTTGCTCTAGTTACTTTCCTCACATTATATGAAATTGTTAAGTAGTGGGTAGAAACCCAAGTGCCTGAGACTCAGCAATTTGGCTTACGTTGCCAGTTGCAGAACTGGCGTAAGCAAGCAAGTTTCCAAACACTGTAATGTTTCTCTCTATATTTATTTATTTCTTTATTTTCAGAAAATGGCTGTTCCACCAGCCTATGCTGATTTGGGAAAATCTGCCAGAGATGTTTTCACCAAGGGATACGGTAAATATAAAACTGGTCTTTTGTTGTTTAACTACTTCCTGAAATCGATTTGTCATGACTTTACTGCTTTTCACTGACAAAAATTCACATATTTCTCATTAGATTTCAGATAGTTTTATATCAGAGGTTCACGTTGTCCTCACTGCCCCCGGAAGGGCAAGGAACTTATTTTAATTCTGGCAACATTTTTCCTTTCACCCGCAGGTCTGTTGTACATTTTGAAGTGCACTGTATTTTCACTTGTCCCTTGTATAATGAGTCAAAGTCACCAGTGTCAGTAGTTTGCTTATGAACAAAATGCTGTTCAGGAGGAATAAAACCCTTATTACCTAATTTGCCCCTAGGGATATTGAGGAAGTCAGCTGGACTAATGCGGTCAATATTGTCTGTTACAATCTGCTCATAGGAAAACATGTTGTATTTGCTGTAGTTCATAGGAGATCTAGAAGGGAGTTTTTAAGATCATTTTTAAGTTATCTTTTAATTAACATATATATAACTTTTTTTTTTATTCATTTTCTAGGTTTTGGGTTAATCAAACTTGATTTGAAAACTAAATCTGAAAATGGACTGGTGAGTTGGACCTGAAACATCTGAAAGTTCCTGTGTTTACTCTATGTTCATTTTGACAGTGTAAATATGTATTCCTTATTCTCCCCTTGTTGATTTTTGTGTATATTATAAGCTTGCAAGATGCACTGTATTTACACTGGGATCCCATCGGGAGCCTGTGCGCAAGTGGCAGTGGAAGACACGGTGATGGGCTCCTGCCCAGCTAATTGCTGGTACGGAAATTAGAGCCCTTTTTGAGGCCATTTCTGTGGCCTGTGCTGGGAGAAGTGTCAGTGCCTCCCTCCTGCACACCAGTTTCCAGTTATTAAGGGCTGTGCTCTCGTAGCACATGTGTTATTTCCTGTGAAGACCCGATTTAGCTGGGTGCTGGCATGGGGCACAAGCTCTCCCAGGACTTCCAGCATTTCAGAGTCATGTTTTGCTCAAGGCTGCTGATCAGTTTTGAAAGAGAACTTAAGTCACACACAGGTGTGACTCCTGTTTTGCCCTTTTTTTTTTCCCATTTCCTGCAGTCAGAATTTCTTCAAGCATGATTTCTAAATATGCTGTGTGCTAGTTTTCTTATCTGTTAATAAACAGGTATAGTTGCAATCTAACTGCTTGCAGAATAATCTTTATAATAGCTTTATGAGGGATGTCTTTTCAGACTTGCACACTGAATCACAGACATTCCCTGCATACTAACTTACCAGGCCAGTGCCTTAGTTTGTGTTGCTGCCAGTAAGAATTATCCACATCCCTGCCCCATGTCCATTCCTTCAGTGAAATATTTTTGATTTCTGCCACACTGAAATTTTTGTGAGGCAAGCATGTGTTGATATTAATGCCCAGCAAAATGTTTTCAGAGCTTTTGAGAGTACTGCAGTATTAAATATCATCCCAAATTATATTGAGTAATTAATTCCGTAAATGTAAGTATTTACTTGTGTTTCTTTCTCCCTCTCTCCCTCTCTCCCTCTCTCCCTCTCTCCCTCTCTATAAATATATATATATATGCATATATATATATATATTTCCTTTTTTAGGAATTTACAAGCTCAGGTTCAGCAAACTCGGAAACAAGCAAAGTTAGTGGTAGTTTGGAAACAAAATACAGATGGGTGGAATACGGATTGATGTTCACAGAAAAATGGAATACCGACAACACACTAGGCACGGAGATTACTCTTGAAGATCAGGTATTTTTGGCTCAAAACATACAAATTACAAATTATCTTATGACAATCTCTGTTTTTAAATTCTGAATGAAACTTTTGAATTTCTTCCCTGTCCAGCTTGCGAAAGGCCTGAAGCTGACGTTTGACTCCTCGTTTTCTCCTAACACTGGGTAAGATGTGACTAAGTTTACATGACAGAAAAAAAGCATTTTGGTTTTAGTTGTCCGGAGTGCCAGCTTATTTTTTTTTTACTTCTTCTGCCATAAAATATGAAGACACATTATAATTAGTGTATGCATGTCACATGTCATTGAAATATTAGTATTAACTTATTAAACATGAGTTGTAGCAAGCAAAATTTTAAATGCAATTATTTGCGAATTAGATTAAGAATTGGAGAAGAAAAGGAAGAAAAGGCTTTTTTTTTTCCCCTCTTGTTGCTTATTTTCGGCCATGTTGGGAGATGTGTGCTTAGCTACTGTCTGAATAAAAACTCTGAACAAATCGACTGTAATTCAGGCTTAACAAGCTCCATAAGCCAGTTGGCTGCAGCTCTAATAGGTCGCTGCAGTAATTGGGTTCACCTCCCAAGCTGAATTTATCATTTAAATTCTTGCTGGACACAGTGTGACTTGGTGGTGGATGAGGATTTCTGCCATGGTGATTGGATGCCACGTTTTATGTGGGCCACAGGGATTAAGCAGCAGCTGTAGGACTAGATGTTGTTTTATTTTTTTCCCTGATTATCTTTTTGCAAGCAGTGTTGTCAGTGAGTCAAAATAGACAAAATATTCTGAGAATTTGCTTTCTATAGGAGCACACTGCACTGCAGGCTACCAGGGTAACAGCCTCATTGAAGGTTTCAGCCTGTTTTCTGCATTTAGTATCCCCCATTGTAAACTGCTTTCACTGTATTCCTAATTCTAGATTAACTAGACACCTACAGAGTAATTTCTGTTTCTTTGTTGATAATTTTGTTTTATCTGGTGGGATTATTTAAAAAAAAATACGAGAGAGTGATGAGTTAGAGCTGTGTAGCTACTGCTCAGGAACTTCACAGATGTAACAACATCTGATTTATAACAAAATTCTCCCCTTTGCGGGGAGATTATTGTAATCTGGGTAAATGATGTAATAGTCATGTTGCAACCAGGTTTAAGGTGATAGGGATGCATCATGTGTGAGTATGACACACCTTCACCCCGCTCTTTACTACTGAGTCTTTTAGCTGGGAAAGCCACCCTCCGCAATGCCCTGTTTTAGCTCCCATCCGTCCCCATGGATGCTGGTAGGAAGAAGTTCCAGCGACTTTCATGGAAATTGCAGACAGGGCAGTCAGTGTTTGAGGGCTTTTGGCTTTCCCGTTCTCTGCCTTCAGTTTCCTTCTCTGCTGCTGCAGAAGAGATGAGTTGAGGCATGAAAGCAGAGCGGTGCAGAATGCAAGAGGTGCTCGAGCTGAATATGCAGGATGCGAGTCTGCTGCCTGGTTTAAACACACAGACGCAGGAGGAAATGCTGTTCTGGCCAATCCTACAAAAGGAAGCAAATGACTTGGAAGTTTATTTGTATGTTTGCTTCAAAAGAAAACAAACCTCCAGCCTTTTCTACAGCTATAAATATTAAAATGTGTATATATAAAGCATCATAAGGACAAAAGGGGGTGCTGGAGCCACTCAAGTCACTTAGTTCTTAGCAGCAAGACTTCCCCTCAGGCAGCTGGAGGCAAAACAACATTTCTGAACTTCGCCCATTCACTAGGATTGTTTGTGTGCAACAGCCCAGTGCTGCTTTCTGTGGCCAACACCTAAACTCTTATAGTTCCTGTTACCTCCTTCTCCCTAGCAAAACTTCAACAGCAGGAAAATCAGATCCGTGTGACATGATGAATGAATTGCTTTTGTCACCCTGGGTCTGCTGCCTTTTCCGAACATAGCTCGGGAGTGTTCAGTAGTGGAGCACACAGCCTCTTACTGTTTTATTGCACAGGCTTTACTGCAGGTGAATTAGCTTTTTGCAGGTCTACAGCGCAGAAGGTGACATGCCAGCTAGACCTCCAGGTAGGTATACGTTCGTTTGCAGGAACTGTTAACAGTGAATTAAAGTAACTGACCTGATTAAAGCGTATAAAGTACTTAAGAGCCTGTATTTTTCAAACTAACGCTTTGTTTTGCTTTCCTTTAGGAAAAAGAGTGCTAAAGTGAAGTCAGGTTACAAGCGGGAACACATCAACATTGGCTGTGACATGGATTTTGATATTGCCGGTCCTGCGATACGTGGAGCCCTGGTGCTTGGCTACGAGGGCTGGCTGGCAGGCTACCAAATGACTTTTGAGACAGCTAAGTCTAGAGTAACCCAGAGCAACTTTGCTGTTGGCTATAAAACTGATGAATTCCAGCTTCATACTAACGTGTAAGTATTGGCACGCAGGCTTTTAAACATAAGAATTTAAAAGGATTTTGCTGTTTACTAGAAGAATGATAGGAAAAGACTTTCAGCACTGGTGAAAGAGGGAATGGTGGATTAGACACTGCAAGCTGGAAATGCAAAATGCAATTTTGCAGTAGCTTCTGTTTGAATTACGTGGGTGAAGGAGTGATGATGAAAAGAACTGGGAGTGAGTGAGCACTAAAGCATTCAGAGTCTGTCCTTCTAAAAGATCTTTAGTGCAATAATGATACAAGTAAATTACATTTTCTTAATGGGGGAAAAATAAAAGTAATACCTCCCTTTTGCACATGCCAAGATCAAATTGAAAATGGTAGCTTGATCTGCAGGAGAAAGAATTAATCAGAGGATGAACAAGAATGGGAGAAAAAGGAAATGAATGGAAGAGCTATGGACCAAACTTGTGTTAGTATTGGAAGAGCAATGGTATGAAAGTTTGTCTTATTGCTGAACCCCCTAATAGTCTATTTACACAGCATTTGTCTTTTCTGCATACGTGTGCAGTAGGAAAACAGGACAAAATTTCATGAAAACCTTCATTTTTTCTATGTCCTGCCTCTCGTGAATAAAACAATTTATGCCTTTCAACAGTATTTAAGATTAGCCGATCCTTAATCCCTTCTTCTTTCCCCTTTCCCATTAGCTAATTGGGTGTTTTGCAGGTAGCAGAGCTATCGCAGGCTGTTCCCGCGCAGGGCTGGACAACTCTGCGCTCTCGGAGCTGCTCCTTCCACAGCTTTCTGCTCTGTTCCGTGCTGGTTTGCAGGGATCTGCTTTAGGAAGCCCAAATTCCCTTACGGAACAACTGAACCCTCACAGGCCCGACACTGTGTTTGAGGCACTGCCAAGCACAAGTGTGTGGGCAGGAAAGCTCCATCCAAGCAGCGGGCGGGATCCCCTTGCGCTCAGCAGCTGTGAGCTGTTTCCTCAAACACGGGCGCTTTCAACTCTGTGATACTGTAGGAGTTAAAACATTGTATTATGGGCCCTTGCTATAAAATGCTGTAATTATTTTTGCTTTTAATTAAGGCAGCGGCAGAAAATAACTTCAGATCAGTAAGATCTGAGCTTCTCCTGCCATCTCTTTGATCCTTGAAGGTCTGTTTCTTTGGTAGCTATTACTGCATAGAAATTATAAATATTCCTTAGGACGAAGCCTGGGTCGTTTATTATTTCTCACTTGCGAGCTGAAAGGCAGAAACAGTGATGTGTGATATGAGCAAAAATTTTAATTATTGCTTTAATGAATTTGTTAGGGACTTTTAACATGCTTCAGCTCTGAAACGTGACAGAGTTTTCGCAAAATCCAGGAAACAGTTGTATTTTGAATGCCCATCCCTAGGGTGCTGGCTTTTATCTACACAGTTCAGTGTTTCAAAGAAATGTGGCAGAGTAGATAATTAACCAGGTGGGGCTTGAGATGCCTTGTTTTGTTTCTGGCTGTTCCACAGACCAGTTGGTGGCTTCAACAAGTTACTTAATGCTGCCTAAATCGTTTGTGTAGGGGGTTAGTATTTTTGACCTATACATGAAAAGTGCTATTATTATTACAATTAAAATGAGCTTTTGCTTTTTATTTTTAATAATACATGATAACTAAAGGGAGGTAGGGCTGGATAATTTCTACTTTGAAATATGACTTTCCTCGTTTTTTGAGCATAGCTCAGACCCCCCCTAATGTTGCAGGTCAAGACAGAGCTGTATGGGAAGCTTGCACAAAATCTGCCTGTATAACCAGCTCTACTCAGTCCTTTTTAATCCCTCCTTTTCTTGAGAACCAAGCACATGCAGTTATATGTGAGCTTCAGTCTTATCTGAAGTAAGTATTGTAGTGTTTTTTT